GTAGCGCTCTTGTTCTTTTTCTCTGCATTTTGACAACTCACAGTTAAGCCGCTCTTTTCTTTTTCCATTTTTTCGGATGATCGCTTTATCACTCGGTGACGTCTGGTGGCTCCGCTAAACCCCGTGAAACGGGGTCGCTCACGCAGCAAGGTCCATTGCAGCAGGGCATGGCGGGAGCCTCGGTCTCCGACCTCTCGGCCGAAAGAGAGAATCCCACCTAGTGCGCCCTAAAGCGCCCCGGATCCGAGCTCCTCCATTCCTGAGGGGCTCGTTCGGATCTCCGCTCGCGCGGATTCCCTCCTCCACCGCGGGCATGCGAGACGACCTCGGGAGCGACCCGAGGATGCGTCCGCCATTCGCGGGAGCCAGACCGGAAGCGCAGAGACTTCTTTTATTGAAAAAAATAGTTCTCTTCACTGAGCAAGAAATTAGAAAATACAAAGCAGCCTATACAATACAAATAACCCTAACCCAATAGCAACTGGAAAAACATGCATGAAATTCACCCACACTTGCACAAATTTCACCCAGTCTTCCAGAGAAATCTCATTTGCCTACCAAGGGGATCCATTTTTCTAGACAAATATCAGTCTTATCTTTCTCTAAACTTTTCCTCTCAATCATGGATTATCTAGATAAGTGATTGTTCTTAAGTAGGTACAATATAATCCAACAGATGCTTCTAAGAATACATCTGATATTTCCTCAATATCTTTTCAAAAGCGAGATATGATTTTTAAATGGGAGATAAGGCTGAACAATTCAAAATCTCTATTAAAAGAGAATCTTAATATTTCAGTAACTTTCAATTAACTGTTGAAAATCACAGTAAGCCTCATGCAACCAGGGTTCACCTAGAGTTGAGCCTTGCATGATCTCAGACTCCAGAAAAAGGCAAACAGCAGGAAAGGTGGGTGATATAATCAAAATACTTTAGTTGCTGTGGATTTTCTGGGTTGTGTGGCCGTGGTCTTGGCATTGCAGGACCTGACGTTTCTCCAGTAACTGTGACTGGCATCCTCAGAGGTATAACACAGAAAGATGGAGTACTCTCTGTGTGTCAAGAAACAAATCAAAATAAATGAAAGTACTGCCACACAGAGTCAGATAACTGATGTGTAACGGGCATTAGGGACTCGCTGACGTGTGACCCTCACACGCTTTGAGTGTCCAGGACACGCCAAGGCCTAATGCCCCGGTGACGGCCTTCCCTGATCTCGGCGATCCACGGTGGTGAGGTGACCCGCTCAAAGGGGTCCACGAGGAGGAGTGCTTCGCTGGCAGGTCCCAGGGTCTCTGCTGGCGTGCCTGAGAGATTGCTCTCAGCGGTCTGCAAAAGCGTCGCAGCTACCTGGCCTGGGGCGCGACCCACCGAGGAGAGGGGCCTTGGGGGGACCTCAGGGCAGCTGCGGCCCTTCGCCCTTCCCAACATGGCGCCCGAGCAGTCCTTCTCGACATGGCGGCCGCACCCGGCTAGTCCGGTGGTGCATGTCACGTGACACCCCCCCCCCGCTCTGACGAGACAATCCCGCACGTCACCGAGTTCTCCTTTCGTCACGTGACGACGACTGCCGCACGCCTGCGCGGTGCTAGCCCCTGCCCCTCCTTCCCTCTCTGCCCCCTCCCCCCCGCCCGGGAGGGGGGAGGCGGCAAGATGGCGGCGGCGACGGTGGCCGGGAGGACTCCGGCTCCGCGCGACGGCGGTTCGAGCTTGTCTGGGCGACCGCCGAGACTCTAGGAAGGGCGGCGAGG